GCCCCCCCCCCCCCGTCTCCAATACTCCCGGGGCAGGCTCGTGCAGAACGTGGGCCCCTGGCGGTGCCTCAGTTTCCCCACCCACCCCAGCAGGTTACTCAGTTGCAATGGGCTCTGAACGCAGTGCGCGGACATTGACTGGGGGCAGGTGGGAAAGAGGAGGGGGCAGCACTGAGCCCTGCAGGGTGCCTGGGGTGCTACTCACGGACTCTGACCACCCATGGGAGCAGAACTGGAGGACGCCAGGGGGCACCCCGCTGGCGGTGCCTCAGTTTCCCCACCCACCCCAGCAGGTTACTCAGTTGCAATGGGCTCTGAACGCAGTGCGCGGACATTGACTGGGGGCAGGTGGGAAAGAGGAGGGGGCAGCACTGAGCCCTGCAGGGTGCCTGGGGTGCTACTCACGGACTCTGACCACCCATGGGAGCAGAACTGGAGGACGCCAGGGGGCACCCCGAGGTGCTGCTCCCCTCCCCCCATCTGTGCTGTCTGCCCCAAGCCTGGCATGCTGGGTGCTGCTTTGGCCCCCAGCCCCTGTACCAGGTGCTCCAGGCTCCACTTGCCACGGGACCAGACCCCACTACGTGTCCCAGCCGGGGGGTGGGCGCCCGCCCCCCGCCGCCCGCCGCCCCCCCCTGCCACTCGCCCCAGCAGGCAGGGTGCTAGTGGTTAGAGCAGGGGGCTGGGAGCTAGACTTCCGGGTCCAGGCCCAGGTCGGGGCGGGGAGAGGAGAGGAGCGGAGTGGGGTCTGATGGTTAGAGCAGCATGGCCTGCCGGGGAAATTTCAGTCGTGTGTCCGAGAGCGCTGGGCCTGTGAAGATTTTCACTTTAGGAAGCTGCTGTAGCCCAGTCAAACGTGCGCGGACAAGGCCGCCGCCCAAATCCAGCTCAACAAAGGGAACTCAGGGCCAAACAAATGGCCAGGAACATTTCCGCATGTTACCCGCATCCACACACAGCTCGGCAGAGCCTTGCAAGACGCCCCACTATCTAGTGGCAGGGAGTTCCGCCGGCTAACGGCGCACTGCTTAAAGGGCAGCTGCTTTGATGGGTACTAGATCCACCCCCTTCGCCCCGGGCTGCTGCGGGGCCCGTGTTCCTGTGCTGTTAGGCCGTGGGGCTGGTCCTGATCGCTGTTTCTGACAGTGCCAGGGGCTCCCAGAGCTTTTGGCTGTGCTTGGGCCCCCTCCCTTCCGTGCCATTGCGCCGAGGAGGGGACACCCGGAGCCGCGGCTCTAGGGCTCCCTGCCCGGAGGGAGGGTTG